ATGAGCCGATATGCCAGAAGGGAGGTGTTAGATTTGGGCTATAATTAGTCACTTTAGCACAGTATTTTATAACCTAATCCATGTAAATGACTGATTGTCTTATTCCTTTTTAGACTTATATTATCCTCTTTATAATGATACTTTTGGGTTAAACTCTCTGGCTGTGCCTCCTCCTCCTCTCTCAGTTACAGTAGATACTCGTATTTAAGCTCAACATTCACACTTTCTTATCACGTTCCACCTAAATCTGCATGAATTAGGACCTGGTCTGTTCATGTCAGAGCTAACTAGCCAATAACACTCGGTTAGGTTACCCTATCCCACATTAGCATTAGCATCTGTAACCCACAGGTCTGTGTCCTAACCATTAAGTTGTTATCAGAGTAAATCCCTGTTCAACATGAGTCTAACAACTAAGTAAGTAGATTAATAAATTTAAACTTTAACAGATGCTCTGATAGGCCGGGATCGGGATCAGAAGTGAAAAAAGCCCTAGCAGACGCTTTCAGACACTATTGTTTGAAATCTAAAGGAAAATGCTTGTAGGCATTTTACACCAATCACGTTCTTGTTGTATAATTAAAATGCTGTAAATAAGTCATTTGGACCCTCAGAACCAAATAACAAAAACATTTAATTAAATATATAAACAAACATTTTCAATTTAAATATAAACCCACTGAGCCTTTATTATGAAAAACTACCTGAACCGGGACAAAGTCTAGTTATTAAACTTAGTTTTATAAGTCCGATCCCACGCGAGCATTAGCATTAGAATTAGCATCTCCTAACCCACAGGTCTGTGTCCTAACCATTAAGTTGTTATCAGAGTAAATCCCTGTTCAACATGAGTCTGACAACTAAGTAAGTAGATAAATTACTTTAAACTTTAACACATGCTCTGATAGGCCGGGATCGGGATCGGATCGGAAGTGGAAAAAGCTGGATCGGGACATCCCTAGAACAGACGAGCTCATTTGCATCTGAAGTGGGTCTGCAGGATGCTGAGAGTCCACACAAAGCCATTCCTCAACATTAGCTCTAACCCCCCCTCCTCCTCCCTCCACTCAGCTTTTACTGTGCACTGAAATCTCCCTTTCAAATCCCAACACAAAGGCTCACTGGCCGTAAACCAATCCCTGCCCCCGGTTTTGGCGCCACAAACCTCCGCGCCCGCCAAATATGCTAATGCGCGCTAGCTTTGTTCCCGAGGAGCCAATCATTAACGAGCGTGTGTGCACAGTGCTCATTTACAGAAGCGGTTAATGATCCACTCCTTTGTCGGTTCCCTACCTGCCTTTTTTACCTTTTTTTCAAATAAAAATAAATAAATAAATAATGAAAAAGACTAGGGAAATTACTTTCTTTGAAAATAAAAATAAATAAATAAATAATAAAAAAAAGACTTGGAAGCCATTTAAAAAAATATATATATATATATAAAAAAGACTAGGAAGCCACTTTTTTTTCAAATGAAAATAAAAAAAAAAAAAAAAACTAGGAAGTCACTTTTAAAAAAACAAAACAATAGATAAATAAAAAATGTAAAAAATACTAGGAAACCACTTTTTTAAAAATAAAAATAGATAAATAAAAAAATTTAAAAAAACTTTTTTTGTCCACCCAAAAAAAGGGAGTTAGTTCAAGTAAAATGGATTTATCTCCTCACCTTTGGGGCACTCGCAGTGGAAGGAGTTGATCTTGTCGACGCACTTCCCGTTGTTGAGGCAGGGCTGGCTGGCGCACTCGTCCGTGTTGATGTGGCAGAAAACACCCTCGTATCCTAAAAAACAAAAGGTCCGAGGGTCAAATCCCGCCTGGCAGATGATCAAAGGCTCACACAGGGAAATGCGTTGTAGACCTCCTGGATTTTTTTGTTAGAAATGTTTCAAATAGGGCTCAAAATGGTGGTAAAAAGAAAAGTGTTGCTCTCTCTAAAAGAAGCTCCCGAGTCCAAATATACAGCCGAGTGGGTCGTAAAAGAGAGACCTGAACCACTGAGCCACCCACTCTGAATCTTTTAGGGCAAATCTTTATCTTCCTTTTTTTTCATTGTTATTTGTTTGAAACGATGTTAAATGTTGTACCGGATGCATTCACTTTTCGGGTGAACCAAGTGGGCAAAAGCAGGGGAAACCTGCAGGCCGGCCCGCCCACCGACGACTAGGAAGCCACTTTTTTTTAAATTATAAATAAATAAATAAATATTAAAAAAGACTAGGAAGCCACTTTTTTTTCAAATAAAAATAAATAAATAAAAAATACAAAAAGACTAGGAAGTCACTTTTTTAAATTAAAATAAATAAATAAAAAATAAAAAAGACTAGGAAGCCACTTTTATTTTAAATAAAAATAAATAAATAAAAAATAAAAAAGACTAGGAAGTCGCTTTTTAAAAAATTAAAATAAATAAATAAAAAATAAAAAAGACTTGGAAGCCACTTATAAAAATTATAATTAAATAAATAAAAAATAAAAAAGACTAGGAAGCCACTTTTTTTTAAAATAAAAATAAATAAATAAAAAATAAAAAAGACTAGGAAGTCGCT